TCTGTGATTCTGTGAGCAACTCAATCTGCCTGCCTGCTTTGCCTGATTTGGGGTAACAGTTGCTCCTTTTTTTATTAAAAAAATCAATATTTACATACAAGCTATGCCCATCCAGTTACATGACCACCAAGCCACACCCATAAATTAGGCCATGCCCACAGAACAGGTTGTTAAAAAATTTGTGTGTTTGTGTGTGTGTGAGAGAGAGAGAGAGAGGGGGGAGAGGGAGAGAGAGAGGTTAGATCAGATCTCTCTTTCTCTGTCCCAGCAAGCCACCGTCAGTCAAAATTCATATTAGTGGTCCCCGGGATTTAAAATTATGAAAAGGTTGGAGACCTCTGGACTAGATGACCTACAAGGTCCTTTCCAACTCTGTTAATTTGTAAACAAAGTTGAACTGTTAAATATGTAAACAACTATGTTCTCTATGCTAAAGGCCCTGTCTACCTATCTGTATTTCATTCTTTGAGAAATGCATTTTGTATTTGTTACCACATGTTTTATCAGGAATAAGATCCTTTTAAACTTTGAAAGTTTCTTTTTAAGTGTTATTGTTTTCAATTAAATGGGATTTTATGCTATTGGGATTAATACGTTGCAATATGTGATTTCTTTAAAAATATTACAGAATAAAATAGACAATAAAAGAATTGGAAGGGACCTTGGAGATCATCAAGTCCAACTCCCTGCTCAAGCAGGAGATCCTATACCATTCCAGAGAAATGACTGTCCAATCTCTTCTTAAAAACTTCCAGTGATGGAGGATTAAAACAAACCATTTTTTCTCAAACTGATTTGAGTACTGAATGTTTCCATTCCTCCCACCCAGGCAAAGCAAAGGGAAACTTTTAAACTAAGTGCAGATTAGTTGTAAGGTTATGCCTCTACAGTAGTGCTCTAATCGCAATCGCAATAGCATTTGGACTTATATACTGTTTCACAGTGCTTTATAGCCCTCTCTAAATCAACATATTGCCCCCAACAATCTGGGTCCTCATAAAGTAGAAGCAGAAGAAACAACAGGTAGCGTCTTTAAGCCACCACAGTTTTAGTGAGAAATCAGTAGAAGAAGGAAATATTTTGCTCTGCTTTTTTCAGGCCCAAATTATGAGGAATTGGAATAAGTAGTGGGAGTTGTCTCTGTCACTCAACCTATGGGAAGAAATATGTGCATAGAACATTCATTTGGGGAACATTGTGAGAAAGTTAAACTTGGATATTTTTCCTCCTCAGTGGAATCCTATGTAAAATAAATGACTACAAGTGTCATAATGTAGGAAAAGGGCTTTAGTTATGGGCTTTCATTACTTTGATTGAAAATATTTTGCAATATCATTGATAAAATTTATATATCAATAACAATTCTCAATTGTGCCAAAAAGCAATGTCTCAAACAAAACATGCTTGAGGAGCAAGTAAGGAAGAGCCACTTCATAATGGCCTTTTCTCAGTGAAAAGGTCCTGGGACTTTATGGAGGCTCTATAAATAAATAGTAAGTGGTTAATGGTTGGTTAATGTGGGGGTCTCCACAGAAATCTTCTATGGATTTATTTATAGTTTAAGGCACACACAAACCAGTTCAGAAATGGAATTCTTCTCTGGCAAAAAAAAAAAAAAAGGAAGCCTTTCACTTCCTCCTCTTTATCTATGTGTTGTTTGGACAGTAGCACCTTCCCCCAGTCATTGACCAAATATGCAACAAATGTGGATACACTTTAATGAAATGCTTGACAAAATTGCTTATGTAAGTTTGTATTCTACAGTTTGAGTTTCAGCCTACATTCAATATTTTAAACAGTATTAGTTTCACTGAAAGTTTTAATATGGGTTTGACACTCTTCTGAGGCTCCTTAAAACATTGGGGGCTTTTCCTGCTCCTCTTCAAAAGAACTTAACTCTTGACTGTGAGCTTTCTGTCGCAAGAGCCCTGGGAAAGATAGGCCTAAATATAGTATTATGGTGCATTTTTAAACAGTAGGAACACCCGCGTCTAGGCTGTACCACTTCAAGCTGTAACAATGAAGGAAAGCTCCCTTCCGCATCAAAAGGCTCTCAGAAACCAGTAGGAGCCATGCTAGGCAGCCCTTCTCCCACCTGCCAGCTTTTCTTTTTGCCAGCATGTTTTCCACAGCGAAACAGATCAGTCAAGTGAGTCCCATCTGCAGACTGAAGTACTGTTGGCCAGACAATTGCTGCAGCCTTACCGTGGTTGGGACGTTGCAGGAAAAGTTGTTTTAGTCCGAAAACACCAACGGCTTACGGGCGAAACCAACGCGGACCTGCATTCTAGGCGCTTCAGGCTGATTCGCGCCATTTGCTGGTCAGCCATTTTTTTTTTTTTTTTAGCCGCGCACCTGGAATTCGGGCTGCGGAGGGGGGGGAAGTGCTTGGAGTGCGCGCGCGACTGTTTTCCACGCGCCTAGCTCCCTCTCGGCCATTTTAGTGCCACCTCTTCCTATTTGGGGCCCTGCTCCTTTTCTATGGAATCTCGTTAATATACAGAGGAGTTATCTTAAGCTTGGGGAGGGAAGGCCTCTTCTTCACCTTTTGCATAAGCGCGGGCAAATTACAGCATAGGGCTTGCTTTCAGAACGAAACGCGGCGCTTGCAGGGCGCCCTGACCTCCGCACCTCTGGTCTCGCAAAGCTGAGCACTGCCCTCGTCTCTCACGACCGCCAGCAGCGTGGGCCTTCCCTAGCCTAGCCCAAGATGTGTTACCCTCCAGTGGGTTCTTGGTATCATCAGCGCTGGGTCTCCCTGCCCCGTTATCTCTCAAGATTGCCCCTTGGAATTCCTGGGAACTTCGGGAAGGAACTCATTTTCTTTGGTTCATGTTGATAAAGGAGGGCAGGACAAGGGGGATCTCTACGGTCCTATATCACTCCGTTTTGTTCTCTGCCTACGAATCGGTGTGAAACCTCTCCGTCTACGAGCGCTGAAGTAGCTCTCCGTGATCCCTGAGCGGAGGGGACAAAACGGAAGGAAGCCCCTTTCCCACTGAGCTTCAGCTCAGACCGGGAGCCCAGCGTTCGCCTCCCTCCAGGATCAACTTGTCAAACAAAAAGAAGCAAAGGGGGATGGATGTCCGCTTTAAAGTTCCGATTTAGGTCGCGTAGGTAGTTAACATCTCTCCAGCCACCGGCTCTTGCTCAAGGAATAATTGGCTGTCTTCCCGCTCTTCAGCTGTAAGTTTCAGGAAGGCCAGCCATTTAATGGAAACTCATTCTTTTTCTCCCAGGATATATTGTTAACCGGTTGTAGATGGACATCTGCCGCGACAAGCAAAGTTCTTTTGCATCTTCTACTCGGGTTTAATGCGCATCTCTAATAAAAAGAACCGCCTTGTCCAGACTGTGGGCAACATTCTGAGTCTTGTAAAGCACGTGTCTTGAACTCCTGGTTGGGGCCCAATATTTTCAGGCCAATGTTTGCTCAGTAACAAATTTATTATTTGTTCATTTATTACGTTTATTAAATTTGTTTTTATTGTTTTATTAAATAATTGTTATTGGCCTGATTGGGCGCGCGCGGTTCCTAATCAATCTGGTTCTCCTAGCTACAAAGGAGAAAGAGGATTCCCAGGGACTTGGTACAATTATACCATTATCTGCGATGGGCAGAGGTCTCTTTCCACTTAGAAACTTCAAGGTAGTTGAGGACGTCTTTACGGACAAGTAGCCCTCTCTTAAGGATAAGGCCAGAACAAAGCCTGTGTGTTACCAGGAGATTTCCTCCCAAACGGAATCAGCACCACGAAGCTCGGAGATCAACTCTGTTGTAAACAGGAAGCAATATTGATCTTTGCAGGATTCCCTTGGTGACGGTCTTGCTCCCTGTCCTGCAGTCTCTTGCCTTGTCTCCATAAACCGAGATCTGGGGAACTGAGCCAGCCTTTCTTACACATTATTCTGTCGCCGGTGCCACCCCTTCGGTTTCCCGAGGCTGTGTCCGCATCTCTTGGGTCTTCTTGGGGCGCCGTGAAGTTACTGTGTCCCAGTATCCCAGTTGGAAGTTTTCCAGATGTGTGGAACGGCAGTTCCCCTCGTGCCGAGGCCCCTGGAGCGGAAGAGTCTCTCTACTTTTTAAAACATTATTTTACCTACCTTGCCCATTTTTCCGACTGTTCACTTCTTGAAAAGAAGCTGGGACGGCTCCCTATCGTGTAGTCAGCTAGTTCAAGCAGGACCTTCTAGTTCAGCACGCCACACCTTTTACTTTGTGTGTGCGGGCAGCCTCTTTTTTTGAATGTTCAGCGCGCCGCGTGTCAGTTACCTCAACGAGACCCCTATAATTGCAAAGTTTTCCTTTTATCTGCCACCTTGTACTAAGGAGCCTAAAGGAGTGGTTCGCTCCCTTCATGGAGACACCACTGTCCTTCCAGGTCAAGAGTGGCCAACGTTTCAGGATTTTCTGTTGGATACCATCTCCCAACGGTGCGGAAAGGGGCAAAATCAAACCCTTCCAGTTGGGAGCCCGACCTCGCTGGGGAGGAGGGGGAAGGCTGAAGCTAAAGGTCCTTGGCAACACTCGCCAATGGGAGACCCCACCCCCCACTCCCGCCACACACCTTGGTGGACTTTGGGGCGCGGGAATGAATGAAGGGCTGTTCTGAGGGGCTCTGCCAATCTTTTCAGACTTTGAGAATGGAAATTCGGAGAAACCCTCCCTCGCTGGAGAGGGCGCCAGGCAAAGGATCCAGGACTGAGGGAGCGCGCGGGAGGGGGGGGTGGCGGCTGGGGGCAGCGGTGTGGCTCCGCCCCCGCGGTATCTGTCGTAAACCTGGCGCCGCCAGTCTAAAATAAACGCTAGCTAGAGAGAAAGGGAAGGGAGGGCTGGTGCGAAGCCGCCACCTCCCCCTCCTCTTCACCCCCTTTTCCTCCTCCTCCTCCTGCCGGCTTCCCGCGCAGCGGCGACGGCGTTCAGCCCCTTTTTTCTCTGGACTCAACAGCAGCGTCCGTCGGGCGATAAGGAAGGGAGCCCAGGGGCTGCCCGGCGAGCCATGTCGCTCAGCCCCAAACACACGACTCCTTTCTCCGTCTCCGACATCCTGAGTCCCATGGAGGAGACCTACAAGAAGTTCGGCGCCATGGAGGGTAGCCTGGGTGCACCTTTGGGCGTGGGCGCCACCGCCTACCGCCAGACCTCAAGTTCAGCCCTCCAGTCCCAGCAGCAGCACCCCATGGCAGGCCACAATACTGCCGCCTACCACCCCATGGCCCATGCTGGGGTCTCGCAGTTCACTCACGGTTCAGTGGCTGGCTATTGCAACGGCGGGCTGGGCAACGTAGGCGACCTGGCGTCCTATCCAGACAGCGTGCGCAGCAGCACAGCAGCCTCCGGCTGGTATGGAGCCAACCCGGATCCCCGGTACCCCACGAGTAAGCGGGGAGGGGCGAGAGAGGGAGGGACTGAATCAGCTGGGGGGGGGGGTTCTCTTTGCCAGGGGTGGAGGTGTGTGCTCTGAAGGGCGTCCCATACGAAGCCCTCTTTGGAATAATGCTCTTCCTCAAGTGTCTTTTTCCCAGGCTTGGGCGGGAAAATCCCGAGTTTGGGGATCAATTGCACTGGGAAAAAGGAGAATTGTTGGGGTGTGTTCAGAGAATCCCAGGGCCGAATGGAGAGGAAAAGTGGGTCCTCTTCTGTCTTAAGAGGGGAACCACTAATATTAAAGTTATTTTAAAATGCCACCGGTGATTATGGCCGCTGGTCTCTGTCTTCAGGGTCGCCCCTTCTCTGGTTCTTGGCCTTGGTGACAACTTCTTTTAACTTGTGTCCTGTGTGCTTAGTTTCCAGGCTGATGGGCCCTTCCGGGGCCATGAACATGGCCGGCATGGGAGCTCTGTCGGGAATCGCGGAGGCTGCCAAATCCATGGCTCCCGGTCTTCACGCCACTCCGCGGAGGAAAAGGAGAGTGCTTTTTTCGCAGGCCCAGGTCTATGAACTGGAGAGGCGCTTCAAGCAGCAGAAGTATCTTTCGGCGCCCGAGAGGGAGCACCTCGCCAGCCTAATCCATCTCACGCCCACCCAGGTGAAGATCTGGTTCCAGAACCACCGCTACAAGATGAAGCGGCAAGCCAAAGACAAGGCGGCTCAGCAGTTGCAACAGCAACAGCCGCCGGAGGGACCCAGCCTGTGCCAGCCGCCGGCCTCAACCCAAGCGGCATCTCCGAGACGCGTGGCGGTGCCCGTCTTGGTCAAGGACGGCAAGCCCTGTCCGCACAGCGCAGCCGCCGCCGGTCAAGCCGCCTCCGCCGCTGCCGGTCAAGCTTCTGGGGCCGGTGGCAGCAGCGGAGCAGGCGGGAGTGCTGCTCAGCATCAGCACCCGCAGACGCAAGGGACCTCGCTGGGCCAAGCCCCGGACCTGGAGCAGATGTCTCCGAGCCCCCCTTCCTTGCACGGCCAAGTGAGCTCTCTGGCCCAGATGGACGCGGCTGCTGTCGATTATAGCGGCGGCCTGGTCAATGCCAGCTTGCTCTACGGGCGGACATGGTAATACCCCCCCCTCCCCAGCGAATCGTCGAGGTGGCTCTTCTTCCCTCTAATATTGCGCCCTGCATCGACAGCTTCCTCTGGCTTCTTTGCTTCTCCTCCGGGGTTCACCCTCAGCAGAGAATCTTCCCTGCTAAATTGGGCATGGCAGAGGAAACGGGCCTCTCTCCCGCGCCAGTGCTCCCGCCCAGCCGCCTCCCTCAGCTGCTCTGGCCAGTCGACACGGCGACCCACACGAGGCCTTCAATGGCCAAGTGTCCAAAAACCAGGTGGGGAACGTTCTTAGGTGCTCTGTACAGTAGGTCCCTCTCCACAGCTTCAGGGAAGGGGGAAAGGCCCCGTTTCCTCCGAGACAATCCCCGAAGTGGAGAGGGGAACTCCAGACGTCGGGCGGAGCAAGGTTTCCCTGCGCACCTAACTGAGCAAAGGCAACCAAACAAGATCAACAACCGCAGTTCCTGAAGTGCAGCTTCCTTCTGGTGAATCAAACCGAACTACAAATAATGCTAATAATAATTTTATCTGGGAACCCCTTAAGTGCAATCTCATTATTACTGATTGAGAGCTGATTGAATTGTAACTCGAGGTCGACTGGCGAACATTATCCGCCATTTTCACAAAAGAGAAGGGGCGACATTCGCAAAGAGAAGGGAGGGGAGGAGACCTACTTGTATCGTTGCACCCGGTAATGACATTAAAAAAAACACCACGTTGAATCTCGGGTTCAGATTTAAGAGAGGAAAAAAATAACAAAGATGTTATTGTTAAGTATTATCTAGTAGGGATTTGGTTGTATACTGACGAACATCAATCAACTGTATTGCAAACTACAATTCATTCCAATAAAAGGCAAATGGGCCAATAATGAAGATGAAACCGTCCTTAGCAAATATAATGTTGCCTCCCTGTGGCTTTCTTATCAATGCGGCAAGGAGTTTTCCTGCAGAAAGAGCACGAACAAACTTCGCGAAAGGGCGTACCTACCTCTAATCATTTTAAACTTTAATGCTTGTAAAAATGACTGAATTGCTACGTGGTTTCTTAATCGATGGAAAAGATAGGTGTTTCTGGAAGTGTAGAAAACAAATCCAGAAAAGGGGAATTAGTCAAAATGCAAACTCTGTGAGAGGCTGAAGAGAAAACGGAAAACACTTTTGCATGACTTTTTTTTTCATATTGCACTCCTAAGAACAGATGCTCTGAATATAAAGTATTATACCGCAAAACGCTCAAATGGTGACAGTAGTTAGGCTGCTATCCTATACTCATTTTATAGGATAAATGAATCCAAGAAGGTTTGCTTTGGGGTAGTTAGGAAGACTACTGTTTAAAATCCCATTAAACTCTGCAGGATACAAGCAGTCTCAATTATGTGCAAGATTACAGCCACATTGCACCTTGATCTGGCCCGGGCAATGTTTTTACAAAATATTGTCAGTCATATTTTTTATTGTTTATCTGCTTAGTTTTTTTAAAAAATGAATATATTTCCTAATTCAGTTTCTATGATTGATTTGGTCTTAATTATCAAACAATTGGTGAATACTTTTGTTTGTTCTGGAACAATCAACATTTTTTCCTAGGGGAGTCTGCAATTCCGTTTGTTTTGAGATGTATATTTTTAATACATGAAAAATGGTTTGGCTGATCACTTTGACCACCTTGAAATAAATACAAACTGAATAAAGTAAAGTCTGAATCAGAATCTACTCATGATTTAGTCAAGAAAGCAATTGGTGGAATTCTTGCAAATATTAGGAATATCAGGAAAACTTAAAACATTTTTAAACTTTAAAAAGGGACAAGAAATTCTCCTATGGAAACTTCAATTAAGGAAGACACACCAAAGATCAGAATTTCCTCCATTCCTGTGAAAAGTCTCAGTTTCAGGTGTTTGGGGATGGTCTGTAATCCTTTAATATTCCAGCTTGCAAATCCTAATTGGGGCCACTACCCCAGTCCAAATCATTTTGGTTGCTGATTTAAATAGATTTTTCTTCTAGGTAAAGTCATTCAGCATAGGAACTTAAAGAAAACAACTCCAGAGCTGTTGCCCAGCTCCCATTCATTTCAAGTAAGTGAAGAAAAAATTTCCCTTGGGAATGTGCCTTAGGGAATATGGAGACCATGGAAACACAACTGTTAGAGGGTGCGGGTGGGAGGTTTGATGAGACCTTGATTCAGATGGGCAAAAAGTCGGATAAATATTTTAGTTCATAGTAGTAGCATTTACTTCCAAATATGCAGACAGCAGGAACTAGTTCCATTGAAATAACTTAAGAGGCCAATGCACACCACCAAAATTTCGGATGCATTTGTCTTATATTTTGTGTAATCTTCTAAATAAAAGTAGATGAGGTAATATTCGCCTGAGAGGAAGCTCCACTGTATTAAATGAGATTTAACTTTGGAATATATATATGCTTAGAATTTTACTTTAAAATAGTGGATTTTAAAATATCATTCCCTGGATTGTATCCTTTTGAAGGATTTTGGATTGTGATCCTATTCAGAAGTAAAAGCAATGGGTCACAGCAGAATGTCATTCTTTGTAATCATTCTCGGGATCGTGTAAAACTCGGGTTTGGGAACTAGTACAATTAATGGGAATTTGTAGTAGGACCAAATTATTCCAAGCTGGAGTAATTTTATTGGAAAAGTTTAGATCCACATACAAAAGTGATCAAATGCTTTATATACCTCAACATCTTGAAGTTGGAACATCGAATATCAATTCAGGAGGAATACTGTTCATTGAATTGGATCATATTATACACTTCAAGGTTTGTTTGAAATAAATATGGGGTTGCACTATTATCTGGGTAAAACTTTCTTTGAAAAAGACTTGCTTGCAAATTGTAGGCACCAGTTCTAAATAGCTTTAGTCTATAGTTCCAAGCACTTCTAGGAGAAAGACTGGTTGAACTGGTGGAATTTACTTCCGAGTAATCATGCTAAGAGTAATCTAAATTTAATCCTCTTTATATATACTCGGGAGGTACCCTTACTGGGTGCAACAACATTTCTTATGAATAGTAGACACATGTAGGATTGTGCTGTAGTCCAATTGTCTTCCATTGCCCTTATTTTGTTATTGTAATGTTGAATAAATGTTGGACAAAACATAGTTTAGCTATTTACTTAAGAACACTACACTGTATTTTTCTTGTGTAGTAAGGAAGTTGCTCACTTTCTTCGGATCAACTCATCCACTTAAATTATGTATTAGAGATGTAAGGTCTCCTCCCTCGTCTTTTTCTAACTGTACTGTTCTTTATATTAAGGAATAAAGACTATTAAAAGGGGAGAGAGAAGACTGTAGGGGAAAAGAAACAGCAGGGATGGTAAATATACAGGACCTGGAACCGGTAGGGAAGCGATTATTTGAACCATTAACTTCAAGACAGAAATTTACAGAATTCATGAACTGCTCCCTTGCCTACTTTTATGCTACTGCTTTGTATCATAATGTGCATTTGCCAAGAACTAAGATCCTTGGAGATAGTTACTCCAGATAGTTACTCTTATTTAAGCACCAGATTGCAGCATGGATTTTATTTCCTAAATATGGCTGAGTTGGATTCAAACTCTGCTCTCCATAGAACTCATTTCTAAATACAGTAATGGGGGGATTGGATTGGGCAACATACAAATCTTAGCATCTTAGTTCCTTAGCATTTTATCAAATCAAATTCAGATTGTTTCCTTGGCAAAAACAGGTGAGAAGAGGCAAGCAGATTAGCGGTCTGCTAAGGCAATGTTGTTAAAGGAGTCCCGTTGAACCCAAATAATAGAAAAGGCAAGAATATACATTTCAGCAGACCAAACCTTGAAACAAGTCCATTCAGAAGAGACCTAAACCTAGGAAGGTACGATGTTTTCAAAATGGCAGGATTTTCACTGAAAGGAGTACTGTAACTTATTCACTCAATCTTATTTAAACAGGCAGGCCGAAAATCATTGGAAAGAAGAGTTTGCTTGCAAGAATGAGGTGCAGGTGGGCTAGGGAAGCAAAATTTCACAGCAGACAATAGAAAGAGTTTGAATGGCTTGAATATATTACTTTAAGTAGAAATTCTTTTCAAGGCATTTTCCATTTTGAGAACTGAAGGAATGGAGATGTCAAATAATTTTCTGGTGCCTAATATATTGGTAGACCCCGAGCCATAAAAAAACACCTCATTCCTATGATTTTTTTAAAAAGAAAACCAGAAGAAGCAGCTAGATGGAAAGATGAGAAAATAGCGAGACTGAGTGATATTTTTAAAAACAATGTTTTAAACAAATTAGTTTCTTAAGTTTTTTCCCAAAATGATAATGGCTATTAAATAGCCCCACAATAGCTTTACACTTTAAATGGGGGGGGGGGTAAAGGTTTAGTTTTAATCCTACCCTTTTTGTACATCTCCCCGCCCCCACCCAAAAAAACAAAACAACCCAGAAGCTTTTTAATGCCAAGGACGTGGACACTGGATTGAGAGGGCTGTTTTGCGCAAAGGCCTCCTCATTTTAGCAAACCGGTTTATGCCCGCCAATTTAACGACGCATCTGAAACCGATGAAGCCTAGAGGCAGAGTTTCTGGGGATTGGAAAAACCCGCATCAGAACCAAAGTCCGGTCCCTTATAACGGCAGTTAGGTTGCCACTACTGAAATTAGTTCTGGCATAAGTCTCCACGCCTTTCTGTGCGAGCGACCGAGCAAGCAAAAGCTCGACAGCTACCTCCCCTAAGCATTTCTTCCCAATTTGCTTTCAAACTTAAAGGCCCTTCTAATGAAAAGCAAAGCCAGCCCGTTGCGGAGAGCCGCGAGCACTTCTCCTCACGAAACCCAGGGAAAAGCTTTCCACCCATTCAGCTGCAGCATTTTTTCAGAGCGTTTGAAAGAAAGGGTTTTCTCCGGCAATTAGTGCTCGCCAGGCTTTTAAGGCGAAGACAAGCCGGGGCAGCCTTAGCGGAGCTCATTATCTGAAGAGGGGGATAAGTGTCTTTGGAGCGGCCCGGCG